TGAAGTGTTTGATATTCATTTTAAATATGAATTTAAAAAACGTGAAAATCTTGCCTGTATTCATCATTAGAATGTTATTTCAATAGCTGAAAAAAGTTAAAATGTAATTCCTCATTCTTCACCTTATTTTCACCAAATACCACCACATGGCTATTCTCTCCAACTTCCAGCTTCAATCTTGGTTAATGCTTTTAAGCGTAATCATTGACAAAACTGAAGTGAACAAATGGAAAACAAGAGGAGTTGGGGAAGAAATAAAAAAGCAAGTTCTAGGAGATCACCAGATTTCTTATTTAATCTTCCCATACATATGCTTTTGTATGACATCTTGAATGTAGTGCTTTTTTATGTTTTTGCTCTAATGGTAGTTTTTAAGAAGTGATACTATTTTTTAATGTTACTTATTTCTATGAGTTATATAGTTCTAGAGAATGAAAATACTTTGTTGACCATCATGATTATAAATGTTTCTTCAACCAGGACATGTTCCTTTAAGGATGTGTAAACACATCCAGATATTCTTAGATCAAGAAGGGGTCCACTCTTAAAATATACATAAAGATGGAAGCAAAATTTAGTATTCAATTCATTGCTAATAATTCAACATAATAAATGATATGAGTATTTACACTCATAGTAACTATCTTACTTCATCTGCATTTTTAAACACTTTATTTTTACCATTAACTTACATTGGTGCTATACTATTGTCTGTAGTCTACCCTGTGTTTTACTTTTAATATTGGGGTGAAAGCTTATATGTGAAAATCATTTTAATTTTCCACCTTGTGTTTGAAACCTAATATCAATAGAAAAACCAAAATGTATTAGTCTGTTACAAGTTAAATTGGAGTATTTGTAAGTCAGTCCAGAATTGCAATATAAATGTGACACATATTTAACTGCTGTTTTATGTTTATAGGGTCCTCCTGGACCTGCAGGTTCAGAGGGAAGACAAGGTGAAAAAGGTGCTAAGGTAAAATATACTTTACAAATATTATGTTTCAAAATCTTATAATACATTAAACAAGCATTTATTTCAGTACATTTAAAAATAGTAAGATGTCTTTTTCTGATTATGGGTGCATTTGTGTATTTTATTTTCTAATAGGGAGAAGCAGGTGCTGAAGGTCCTCCTGGGAAAACTGGCCCAGTTGGTCCTCAGGGTCCTGCTGGAAAGCCTGGTCCAGAAGGTCTCCGGGGAATCCCTGGCCCTGTGGTGAGTAAGCATCTTAGCTGAAAAATGCTGCCTTGAAAATAATATTTTATTTCTGAAAAAAATTATGAGCTAAAATGTTTCTGACAGCATATTTCATAAGTTATATTGAGAATGTTTTGTGGGAATTCAGTAATTATTATGTACAGACATTCCTACATATTTAAGTATGTCATTTATTTAATAAGTTCATGGTAAAATTCTAACTTGCAAAGGAAGAATAGGGAACTAAACCCTAATTTCTCAATGACATAAAATTTCTTTGCATGCCTCTGTGCACACATATGTATGTGTGGCTGTACTGCATGCAGACAAGTACATGGAGTTGTAACTTTAAACACAAAATTGCTCACAGTATTTGTAGATGTTTTTCATGTAGTATAATTCACAGAGGATTTTTGCTGCTTTCCTTTCTGAATTTCCAAAATTGAAAAAAAATACATAATCATTTATTATTAATAAAAATATGATTTTTTTTCTGTAGGGAGAGCAAGGTCTCCCTGGAGCTGCAGGCCAAGATGGACCACCTGGTCCTATGGTGAGTAGCATCTTTTTCTTTATTTAAAGAGAGAATTACTGAAACAAAATTGTCTATAAGGTATTCCTGAAATTTTTAGATGGTAACTTGCTTTGCACCTGATACAATATTCAAGGAAGTATATTACTCATACCTCAAAAAATTCAAATATTTCTAACTGATAGATACATGGAAAAGATGCCACTTGATCACAAGAATGTTCCTTTTTTTTAACCTTTTGGATGAAAAAATTATTTCCCCTCAGAATAAAATGCCACTAATGGCCTTGCCAGTCATTTTCCTAGTACAGACAGTTCCTCCAAATGCATGCAATTAAACTTTGCTTCCTGGTACTTCATTTAAAAGAGTAATGTTAGTACAGGCTTGCAGTGACTTCTTGACCAAATAAATGGTTCTTTCTGTGAGACATATAGGCTGAAAGATAAGACACTAAACCCTATTAACAAAAAAAGATATGATTATAACAACATTCACGTTTAGTCCCTATTATAAACATTATGTGCAAACAATATGCTTGAGAAATGTAGTAAAGCAGTGATTGACCGGCATACTATTCAGAGATGCATTTTATTCTAGCATGTGAGTTATCTTTGCTAAAATTTGGGCAGAAAATGAGAAAAAAAGACTTGCTCTTTAAAATCATTGCTTAGTAGGTGACTTGTTTGCTTTATGCATAGTTCAATTTCACAATACAGTTATTTTAACTCCACTATCCAATAATAGTTATATTAAAGGATTAATGCAAACAGCAAGCAGTGTACATTGCACTATGCAAGTGTGGTAAAAATTGGTTTAAATGGTCAAGTTCCTCCATATAGTAATTAAAATTAATCATTAAATTAGTTTAATTATTAAATTAATCAAACTATTAAATAAATTGTTAAATTAATTAAAAATTTAGTCAAAAGCCTCTTGTCATGGATATATTAATTATCTCAGGTGCCTATATACCCTAAAATCATCAAAACTCAGATTCACAATCATAATTATTCAAGAGGAATTCTGGCCATTTTTTTTTAGGATGGCACAATTTCCCCTCAGATACCTACCAAGTATTTCATAAATGTTAAAGTATTATTTTAAACTTTTGCTGAAGAAGTTAAAGATTACTTATTTGGTAACTGGATAATTACTACCAAATTGTAATTGACTTCAAGCTGGAGATTTTCAACTGGGCACATAATCTCATCAGCATGGAAATAGGGTCCTGGCTGAAACAGGATCACTCCACAACTACACTACTTAGGAAATACTCTCCTTAGATTTGGTAAGTGCCTAACTGCACAGGGTAAGAGCCTGGAAGAAAAAATACTCTGCCTTAATGTCATCCTAAAATTTGCCAGAAGTTCTCTTATTATTATTTCAGGTTTTCCATTAGTTTTGTTGCCTTTTTTCCGGTTGAATTTAAAAAAAAGTACCATGCTGAAGATTTCCTTTGGCTAATATTAAAAATAAAACCATCAGGCATACCACCTGATTCCAGCTTGCAAGTTTGTACTTCTGACTCATAAGCAAATGTAAATTTAGAGTTCAAGGGACTGAACAATCCTTTTTAGGAACAGTGAAATGATGAGCCACAGAAATAAGCAGCATGAGCCTATTCAATTCTCTGGCTGCTGGTTTTGTTAGAGAGTACTTATTTATGATATGAAAATACTGTAGCTTTTTCTTAGCATCAGTTGGCCTTCGGTGTGATGTCTAATCTCTATGAAAATGGTACTAAGTCTATGAGGTGAGGATGGATTGAGCTATTACCTTAAAACTGCTACTTTTGGCAATTTAATGAGGTTTTTCAATTCAACTAAAAATTATTTATTTTAACAGGTAATGTTTTAAGCAGAGTGAGAAGTGGTTTATCATGGTTACTGGTTAGGATCATTTACTAAATCCAAACTCCCTATTTTCAAATCTGTGCACTGCCATTTACTTGTGGGATGACATTGGAAAAGTTGTTCTTCCTTCTTCTCTTTCTCTCTAGTTTTAGTTTATTTATAAAATGGGATTAAGAGCATCTGTTTCATGAAATGGCATAAAATTTAAGTGAGTTTAATTTAGTTATTAATATCTTCTACCTCCTGGAATCTTTATGCCTGTTAAATGAGTTATTTTTATACAACTTAAACAATTGATGGGTACTACTAATATAAAATAAAGAATTAAGTGAATAAAATAATGATCAATATTTTAAGAAACATCAGTTGTGTCTTTTTAGTGAAAAGAAACTAATTTCACCTCAGTTTATGTGTGTGTGTGTGTGTGTGTGTGTGTGTGTGTGTGTGTG